AGCATGCGCTGCACTACGATTGTGGGAGGCTTTTACTAGGCAATAGACTGGACAAAGGAATAACTTAGTGAAGAGAAGAAAACTCCAGAGCTTCGGGGCGTATTAGCTGAAAGCACTGAAGGGGAAGAAAGAGGAGGCCAGAGCTACTCAAGCGGAGGCAAAGGGTTGGAATAGTAAGCTGATCAATCCAGACCCAGAGGGTTGTCACTGTCTTCATAATGTGCAGCTCCCTTCCAGGGAGTAAACTCAGCAGGAGCTGAAGGGAGCCAAAGCAGGAGAGCTATTTCTTGTCGACATTTAAATGGAGATAGTTTCAGCTCAATCTGAACTTGATATCTGACAGCAATTGGTCAAAACAGAATACTGAATCCAGTGTATAGGCTAAAGGGATACAATTAGGTGACAACCCCCTACACATGGAAGTGGAAAGTATTCCATAATGTTATTAATAAACAACCAAAATAAAGGCTTGCTCTTCTGTCAGGCTCGTTTCACAACTGACTGATATTAAATATTTTCAGGTTACAGACTTCCCACTGAGGTATTTCGGGGCTGGTGTGAAGAGAAGGTGCCAGAAGAGCTTAGAGGTAAGTGTATCTTTACGACAAAGTGCTTCGCAGACATCAAACTGATATTAAACATGAAAACATTTTGCTTTTAATAAAATCAATTTCTCCAAGCATGAAATTCATCAAATGTTTATAATCCTTGCATTTGATATAGCGCTGTTCACGTCGTCTCGACATCCTAAAGCACTTTACAGAATATGCTGTATAGTTAATTGACTGTATATTTGTGGGCGAAACGCAGCAATAACTTGTGCAGAGCAGCGTCCCACAAACAGTTGTGGATTCAAAATTACCAATTTATTATTGCTTTGTTTTGGAGAGATTATTATTTGCCGTGTGGAGTAAGCAAACTCCAAGGTTTCGCCCTGACCTGCCAGGAATTAAACCCAGGTCTCCCGCTTTCCAGGTGAGTGCTCCAACCACTGAGCTACAGCACTCCATGACTTGTTTTGCAAGACAGTTTGAAAATGAAGCGAAAAGCAGTGGTTGGGAACTTGGAGGGGATGGGTATGGGCAGCAGAAAAGAGGTGGTGAATGTGGTAGAGTTCAGGAGAGCAAAGAACATGAACGTATTTGAAAGTCAGGGCATGGAAATGGAAATCCACCAACAGGGGACCTGGAATAAGTTGATCCGGCGGAGGATGGGAAATAATTCAGACCATTGGGATACACTGTAAACTGTGAAATGAAGGCAACTGTATTTAATTGTTTTAATAACGTGAACTATTTCAGACATTAACAAAGTAAATATTGTATGTGTAAATAACAAAGGAGGAAGTAGAGGGGTCCAGAGGTGACTGTTGATGGGGTATATGGACGGGGGCGCCTTGTGTACAATATGAACACTGTGAAGGACTGGTTGGAGTGAATAATATGTTTCAGTCTTGTACATTCTCCTTTTTAAGCGAGAGAATCTGGGGTTCAATTCATGGTCCGGGTGAAACCTTACGCAAGTTTCCCTTCTCCACACGCCTCTTTTTACCCAGCAGTAAGTGAACTCACTTGTCAGCCGATTGAGGACTGCATTCCAGCGACAATAATCCCTTCAAAATCAAACATTAATTTGGTCAATCAATCAACGGCTGTTTGTAGGACAATGCTGTCACAATTCGCTGACGCCTTTTGCCCACAAAATATACAGTCACTATACGTTGTAGTAGATCCTGTGAAGCGCTTTGCGACGTCTTGAAGAAGTTGTAAGGAGACATATCAAATGTAAGGATTACTATTACTTTGTGTGTGTGAGTATATATGTGTGCATGTATATTTGCGTGTGTGTATGAGTGTGAATGCATTTATCAATAGAAATATATACACTTGTTTTGCTGTGTTATTTTATTAAATGTGCGGCAATACTAAGGGGATCCGATGTTCAATTTTAAGACGTTCAGAAACAGCACAAAGAAACCCTCCGTTCCCAGAATGAGAAGCTGTCAGTAAATACCCTGCGAGGACGGGAGAAGACCAAGACATTTCTGCTGTCTGACCGCTACACAGAATTAGTGGTGACTTCTTCTCCCCGTGAGCGGAGGCTGGTGGAGCATGAACTGGTGGCGAGCGGCTTGGAACATATCATATGGCAAGAGAGGAATGTCAGGAGGGAGCTGAAGAAAATACGATCGGATGAGCTGTTCCGATCTTCTTTCGGGACAACCATCCTGAGTGGAATAGCAGGGATTGGGAAAACCACCATGGTGCAGAACATTTTGTATCACTGGGCCACAGGGAAGATCTATCCCCAGATCCACTTTGTCTTTCATTTCAAATTCCGTGACCTGAACGTGATAAAAGGGGAAACCAGCCTGAAAACCATGGTCCTGGAATCATATCCTTATCTTCAGGATGTTCTGGACAAGATCTGGGAGAAGCCGGAACATTTGCTGTTTGTGTTTGATGGTTTGGACGAGTTCAAGGACAGGATTGAGTTCACAGACAGTGACAGAAACCCAGTACCTCGGGTCAGCTGCCCGGGGCCGGAAGGCCTCTGTCCCGTGGCTGACATTGTGCGCTCTCTGGTACATCAGGAAGTACTGAAAGGCTGTTCAGTGCTGATCACAAGCCGCCCAACTGCCTGGAGTCTTTAGATCACATCCACACCAACCTCTGGGCTGAAATCCTGGGATTCTTCGCTGAGGGAAGGGAAGATTACATCAGACGCTTCTTTCCAGATGAGAAGATTGCAGCTGAAGTGCTGAGATATGTGAAGGAAAATGACATCCTCTACACCATGTGCTTCAACCCTTCCTACTGCTGGATCCTCTGCTGCACATTGGAGCCAATCTTCAAACATCCAGAGCACAAACAGCCTCCCCCCAAAACCATCACACAGCTGTACTCCAGTTACATTTACAACATCCTGAAGAACCATCCCCGAGCTACTGAGAGCCCTCGAGAGGTGATGCTGAGAGCCGGGGAGATGGCCTATGAGGGGATCTGTAACAGGACCATTGTGTTCGATGATGACCATTTCTCTCACCATCAGCTTGAACCCTCAACCTTCATCTCAGGGTTTATGATGGAGATTCTGGAGAAGGATGATGGTGGGAGACGAGTTGTGTACACATTCCCTCACCTCACCGTCCAGGAGTTTGTGGCTGCTCTCGCTCAGTACCTGACTCCCGTCCGCAGGAACTTGAAGAATCTGCTTCACCAGGTTCACAAGGAGAACGACGGGCGCTTTGAGATCTTCCTGCGGTTCATTGTGGGTCTCTCCTGGCCACACACAGCCCGGCAGCTGGAGGAGATCCTGGGGCCGTTACCTAACGCGTCAGTCTGTGAAGCCATCTCCTGGCTGAAGGTGAATATTGAGGCGGCGATTAAACAGTCGGAGATAGAAGGAGGTAAAAGGAAGCTGCTGAACATGATGTACTATCTGTTTGAGTCTCAGAACAACACTCTGGCCCAGGTCACACTCGGAGTTGTGGGGACACTGGACTTTAGTAAGTTCACATTGAACCCTCTGGACTGTGCTGTGCTGTCTCATGTGTTACAGCTCTGTGACACCATAGAAACCCTCGATCTCCCCAACTGTAACATCGGAGCTGAAGGGATCCAGCGTCTGGTGCCCGCACTGCACAAGTGCCGACAGCTCAGGTTTGTCCTGATTGATGGTTTCAGTCAGAAACATGTAGAATATCAGCCAGTGAGTGAGGTGTATGCTCGGGGAATATACTGACATACAGACAGTCTGTCTCACTGTGGAAGAATTCCCAACACAATCTGGCTATAAATGATCCTCAACATTAAAGCACTGACTCGTGAGCACAGGCCGAGAACTTGCTAAGAATGTTGAGAGCCATCAGCTGTGACCTGAATCATCTCTGTGGCTCCTCCTGTGCCAGTCATTCACATGTGCAGTGTACCTGACCCTGGTCACACGGTGTTATTTTGTTTTGAATGCGTGTGTACATGTGTGTCTGTTTGCGGGTTGTATATGTGGGTGTGTGTGTTTGTGCGCACTCCTGCAACCCCTCCTGCTCAGACATGTATGATGTTGGGGCATCCTCCCTAATCCTGAGACGTTTACCTCACTCAGTTCAATGATTCCATTCATATTCCCAAACGGCTGTTGCTCCCGGATGGATTTTTTTGTGGAGAAATCATGTCCGGAGGTACTATTTTGTTGGTATCTTTGCAGCCAAAACGTCTGTGCAAAACCCTCCCCAGAATAAAGTCTACACATCTTTAGCCCTGAGTTACCCTGTGTCTGCTCACACACTGCAGTCTGAGCCCTGTAGCTCAGTGGTAAGAGCCCTCGCCTCGCTAGCGAGATGGCGTGGGGGTGATTCCTGACAGGGCAAAACCTTACGTATGTTTCCTTACTCCACTCGTGTCTGTGTGCCTCACAGTCAGTCACAACCCGGTTGTTAAACGATTTGCAAATCGGGTCAATAATCCCTTGAGATTAAGAGACAGAGGAGGCCTGAGAGAGATGGACGGAAAGATATAGAGATGGAAAGTGAGACTGAGAGAGAAGAGAGCCTGAGTGAGAGAAAGACAGAGTGATAGACAGATAGAGAGAAAGAGACTAAGAGACTAGGGTAGAAGAAATATAACGTGTGAGAGGGTTTTTTTGTGAGAGGGATTGAGCGACAGAAAGAGAGAGAGAGAATTAGAGAGAAAGATAGTGAAGAGAGACTGAGTTAGAGCAAGATAGAGTGAGAGACGAAGACAGAGTTAGGGTGAAACGTTGAGAGTGAGAGAGAGACTGAGTTAGGGAGAGAAAGAGGAAATGAAAGAGAATCAGAGAGAGACTGAGAGAAAGAAAGTAAGAGATAGATAGAGAGAGAGAGACTGAGAGAAAGAAAGACAAAGTGATAGAGAAATAGGGTGGATGAAATATAACATGTCGTGACTGTATTTTGTGGGAGAGACTAAGAGAGGGAAAGAGAGGCAGACATAGACACAGAGAGACTGAGACAAAAATATGTTATATCGAATAGTGACTATGTCTTGTGGGAGAGCCAGAACAAGTGACTGTGAGAGAGAGAGAGAGAGAGAGAGAGAGACTTATAGAGAAACTGACAGAGAGAGAGTGAAAGTCAAAGCGAAAGACAGAGACAGAGCGAGTGACTGAATGAGGGAAAGAATAGAACGCGAGACACAGAAAGAGAATGAGAGAAAGAAAAACGTAGAGAGAGACTGAGAGGTATTATAAAGTGTAGTGACACTGTTTTTGGATGACAGAGACTGTTACTGCGAGAGAAAGAGACAGAGAGAGAGAGCCACAGAGAGAGAGTCAGTGAGAGAGACTGACAAAGAGAGAGAGAGAGAGAGAAAGAGCGAGAAAGAGGGGCCGAAAGAAAGGAGGAGGGAGAAGAGAGTCACTGAGAGAGACGGAGAGACGAGGAGAGAGAGAGACACTGAAAGATAGAGAGAGAGAGAGAGGGAGAGAGAGACTAAGAGCGCGAGTGACTGAGAGAGAGACTGTGAGAGGGTGAGAGAGTCTGGGAAAGCGAGACTGAGAGAGACAAACTGAGTGAGTGAATGAGAGAAAGAGAGAGTGTGGCTGTGAGAGAGGGAGAGAAACAGAGAGAGAGAGAATGAGAGATAAAGTGACTCAGAGACACAGAGTGAGAGAGATTGTGAGAGAGAGAGATAGAAAGAGATACTGAGAGACCTCGAGAGAGAAGGATAGTCTGAACGACTGAGAGACAGGGATAGAGTGAGACACAGACTGAGACACACAGACAGACGCAGAGAGACAGACAGAGAGTGAGAAAGAGACTGGGAAAGAGTGAGAGACTGAGAGACAGAGATAGAGTGAGAGAGAATCTGAGAGATAAACAGAGAGAGACTGAGAAAGAGAGAGAGTCTAAGTGAGAGAGACTGAGAGAGAGAGAGATACTGAGGCAGACGCAGAGGGAGAGACGATGAAAGAGAGAGACCCAGAGAGACAGAGAAAGAGACTTAAGGGCGAGAATGAGAGAGAGAGAGACTGAAAGTGAGAGAGACTGTGAAGGAGAGACCGAGAGAGGGGAAGGGAGAGACATAGACTTATAGAGCGACTGAGAGAGATATTGAGGGAGAGAAAGAGAGAGAGACTGAAAGAGTGAGTGAGACAGAAACAGAGAGAAAATATTATAATGTGTAGTGACTGTATGTTTTGTAAGAGAGACAGAGGCAGTGACTGAAAGAGATTGACTGACAGACAGAGAGAGAGAGAGAGCGATATTGAGAGAGGGACAGAAAGAGACACTGATAGACACAGATATATATCTATATATATATATATAGAGAGAGAGAGAGAGAGAGAGCGAAAGAGACAAAGAGAAAATATATTAAAGGGTAGCGAATGTGTGTGTTGTGGGGGAAACAGATATAGAGTGACTGAGAAAGAGAGAGAGAGAGATTGGGAGAAACTGCGGGAGAAACAATGAAAGAGACTAAGAGAGACTGAGAGAGAAAGTGACTCCGAAACAGAGTGAGAGAGAGACTGAAGGACAGAGATAGAGACTGAGATAGTGAGAGAGAGAGAGGGACTGAACAAGAGAGGAAACGATGGTGTGTGTGAGAGAGAGAGAGACAGACTGAGAGAGATTGTGTGAGAGAATATGCTATAACGTGTAGTAACTGTGTTTTGTGGGAGAGGCAGAAAAAGAAATATATATATAGAGAGAGAGAGAGACTAAGACAAAGTGAAAGACATAGAACAAGACAGAGAGAGAGAGAGAGAGAAAGACGGTGAAAGAGAATATATTATCAAACGTAGTGATTGTTTTGAGGGAGAGACAGAGAGAGAATCAGAGAGAGAGACAGACTGTGATGTGTGTGTGTGCACATGTGTGTGTGTGACCCTGGTCCCAGCGCCTTGGGACTTGCTCCCCATGTGAAAGGCTCCTGTATATACATGTCAATGTGTATTGTGTTGTTACACTCTATTCCCTGTGTTTGTGTCTCTGTGTCCAGGCTGGGGGGCAATAATCTGGGAGATTGTGGAGTGAAGCGACTGTGTGAGGCTCTGAGGAACACGCAGTGTAAATTACAGAGACTGGAGTAAGTAACACACTGTGTCTCCAGAGTCTGAATGACCCCAATATCTCAATGTGTTTATTGTGACTGTCTGATCAGTGCGGCTGAATATTGTGACAGGAATCGGTGTGACAGTGTGAGGCCACAAACCATCAAACTCTCAACATGTATTAATGTGTCTGTGTCTCTGTGTGTGCGTGTGTGTGTGACTGTTGTTAGAAACATATGCAACTCTCTCCAACAACTTTACAATGATCCGGTTCCAGTTTACCAATTCGTTGAGTTCAGTCACTTTATTCAGGTCAAAACAGCAGGAAACATACAAATAAATGAAACAATAAAATAATACACCAGACATAAAACGGTACCGACAGGATTCCTGTCACAGCCCTGGTCGTGTCTCGCACTGCTCCGCTACCGTTCCCGAGAGATATCTAACACACCTTTGTTTAAAGACACCTTGATATCTCCAGACAAAGTAAAACAACTCCTTATATGGTTATATCCACAACATGTTTCAATTCTCCCTTTAACTACATTTATTTCACTCCTCATCAGTCCCTTCGTCCAGTGTGTAAGTGTGAACAGACTTTCTGTGTCCTTGTACGTCCTGACCTGATGTTGCCATTGTTTTGGGTTCTGCTTCAGTCACTGAGCTTTGCAGCCTTTGCACTTCTATTATATATTCTTAAACCATACTTCAACATTAACCCATGACAACACTGTGTGTATGTCTGTGTGTGTGTGTGTGTGTATATATCAGTACATGTGATTGTGCCTCTGTGTGTGTCTTGTGTGTGCCTGGTTGCACATCTGTGTGTGTGTGTGTGTTCTGTGTTTCTGTTTGTGTATTTGTGTGCGTCTGTTTGTTTGTGTATATGTTTGTCTTTGTGTTTGTGTGTGCATTTGTGAGTGTTTGTGTGTGTCAGAGCCATGGGACGCCCTCCCGACGTGAAAGGCGCTAAACAAATAATGTTGTTGTTGTGTGTGTTTGGTTGTTCCTGTGAGTGTGTGCGATTGTGTGCGTGTTTGTGTGTGTGTTCCCAACTTTTCCCTTCACAAACCGCAGATAATCCAAACTCTGCAGCTCCTGTACTCACACACACCAGGCTCCCCGACCCCATCACTCCCACCCTCGCCCGACCTCATTTCTCCCACCCTCGCTCGACCCCATCACTCCCACGCTCGCCCAAGTCTCTCCATCGTCCAGAAGATCGAGTTCAAGATCCTCATCCTCACCTTTAAGGCCATCCATGGCCTCGCCCCCTCCTCTCCTCTCTGACCTGCTGACTCCCTACCAACCTGCCCGCTCCCTCCGTCCAGTGGGCTCCGGGCTGCTCCATGTCTCCCGCACGACCCGCCCTCCCATCGGTGTCCGGGCTTTCAGCCTCTCTGCCCCACACTCTGGAACTCCTTCCCACGGTCCCTTCCCCTCAATTCCTCCCTTGGTTCCTTCAAGGCCGGTCTTAAGACCCGTCTCTTCTACCGTACCTTTGATCTCACTCCCACTTCTCTGCCTTCCCCCACCCCTCCCCCACCGATCCCACCACTCACCCCTTCCCCACCTCTCCCTCATGCTCGGGCCTCGACCCCCGACTGTTGAGCGCTCTGGGATGTCCTCAGGACTTGAAAGGCGCTCTGTAATTGTCATTTTGTTGATGTTGTGTATTTGTATTTGTGTGCGTGGAAGTGTGTCTGTGTGTTTTTGGGTGTGTCTGTGTGTTTGAGAGTTTGTATGTGTATTTATATATGTGTTTTTGCGTTTGTTTGCGTGAGTGCTCACGTGTGCGTTTGTGTTTGATTGTATGTTTTTCTTTGTGTGTGCATTTGTGTGTTTCATTGTGTGTATGTTTGTATGTGTATTGGTATGTGTGTGTTTTTATTTGACTTTGTGCTTCTGTTTGTGTTTGTGTGCTTTTGAGTGTGTCTTTACGTGTTTCCATGTGTTTGTGATTGTGTGTGTTATGTTTGTTTGAGTGAGCATGTGTGTGCGTGTTTGTGAGTTTGTTTTTGTGTGTATTTGTGTGTTTCTGAGTATATATTTGTGCGATTGTTTGTTTGTATGTTTATGCATGTTTATGTATGTGTGTGAATTTCTGCTTGCTTGTGTGCTCTCTGTGTGTGTGTTTGTGTGTGTGTGTTTGTGTGAGTGTTTGTGTGTTAGTTTCTGTGTGTGTGCGATTGTGTGCGTTTGTGTCTTGGTGTGTTTGTTTGTATGTGTATGTGTGGGTAAGTTTCTGTGTCTGTGATTGGTGTGGATGTGTGTTTGTGCGTGTAATTTTGTGTTTGTATTTGTGTGTGTGTTTGTGTGCATGTGTGTCTATGTGTCTGTGTTTGCGTTTCTGTGTGTATATGTGTTTCTGGGTGTGTGTGTGTCTGTTTGTTTGTCTGTATGTTACTGTCTCTGAGTGGGTGCATTTTTTCTGTGGGTCATGTGCTAGTGTTTGTGCGTGTATGTGTATTTGTGTGTGTGTTTGTGTGTGATTTTGTTCGTTTTTGTGTGTTTGTTTGTGTATCTGTGTATGTTTATTTATGTGTGCGTGTTTCTATGTGATTTTGTGTGTCTCTTTGTATTTATTTCTGTTTTTATGTGTGTTTGTATGTTTGAGTGTTGTGTTTGTTTGTGTGTACATGTGCGTGTTTGTGAGTTTGTTTTTGTGTATGCTTGTTTGTTTGTGTGTTTCTGTGTGTGTTTATTTGTCTGTCTATCTGAGTATGTTTGTTTGTGTTTATTTCTGTGTTTATGTGTGTTTACGTATGTGCATTTGCATGTGTTTGTGTGTGCGTGTCTGTGTGAGTATTTGTTTGTGTATGTTTCTCTGAGTGTGGGGGATTGTGTGCGTTTGTGTGTCTGTGTGCTTGTTTGTGTGTTTCTGTGTGTGTTTTCGTACGTATGTGTTTGCGTGGGTGCGTTTGTGAGTGTGTGTGTTTATTTATGTGCATGTGTGTGTTTGTGTGTTCCTATATGTATGTGTGTATTTCAATGTGTCTGCGTGTGTGTGTCTATGTGTGCTCGTTTGTGTGTGTGTTTGAGTGTGTGTGTCTGTATTTGTTTATCTGCATGTGGGTCATGTGTTTATATGTGTTTGTGAGTAAGAGTGTATCTGTGGCTGCATGTCTGTGTTGGTGTGTATTCTGGTGTGTGTGTGTGTGTGTGTGCGTGAATGCGCGTATCTGGGAGATTGTGGAGTGAAGCGACTGTGTGAGGCTCTGAGGAACCCGGAGTGTAAAATACAGAGTCTGTGGAAATTAACGCACTGTGTCTCCAGAGTCTGAATGACTCCAATATCTCAATGAGTTTATTGTGACTGTCTGATCAGTGTGGCTGAATATTGTGACAGGAATCGGTGTGACAGTGTGAGGCCACAAGTCATCGTTTACATCAAACTCTCAACATGTATTAATGTGTGTCTGTGCGGGTGTGTGTGCCTTTCTGTGTTTGTGTTCATGTGTCTGTGTGTGTGTCTCTTTGTGTCTGTGTGTGTGTGTGTGACTGTTAGAAAAATTTGCAACTCTCTCCAACTATTTTAAAATGATCCGATTCCAGTTTACCTGTTGGTTGAGTTCAGTCACTATATTCCGGTCAAAATAGCAGGAAATACACAAATAAATGAAACAATAAAATAATACACAAGACACAAAACGGTACTGAGCGGATTCCTGTCACAGCACTGGTCGTGTCTCGCACTGCTCCGTTACCGTTCCCGAGAGATATCTAACACACCTGTGTTTAAAGACAACTGAATAACTCCAGACAAAGCTGTCTTTCTTAAGAAAAACAACTCCTTATATGGTTATTTCCATAATACGTTTCAATTTCAATTCTCCCTTTAACCACAAGGACTTTCCGTGTCCTTGTAAGTCCTGACCTTATGTTGCCATTGTTTTTGGTATCTGCCTTCTGTCATTGAGCTTTGCCGCCTTTGCACTTCTATTTTAGATTCTTAAACCACAATTTAACATTAACCCATGACAACACTGTGTGTATATATATCTCTGTGTGTGTGTGTCAGTGCGTGTGTTTGTGTGTGTGTGTGTACGTATGTGTGTGTGTGTCAATGCATATGCTTTTTTGTGTGTGTGTGTTTGCGTGTCTGTGTGTATGTGTGCGTTTGCCTGTGTATGTGGGTCTGTGTGCTTTTGTGAGTACTTTCTTAAGTGTGTGTGTATCTCAGTGAGCGCTTGTGTGTGCGTTTGCCTTTATTTCTGTGTTTGTGTTTGTGCGTGCGTTTTTGAGTATATCTATATATTTTGTGTGTCTGGATGTGATTATGTGTGTCTCTGTCTGTGTGTGTGTGTGTGTTTCTGCGGGGTTTTTTGTGTCTCTGTGTGTATATGTGTTCGACAGTGTTTGCTTGTGTGTACGTTTGTTTGTGTGTGTGTTTGTGTGTTTGTTTGTGTGTTTCTGTATGTGTATTTGTGTGACTTTGTGCTTGTGAGTGTATGTGTGCGTGTGTCAGAGCCTTGGGACGTCCGACATGAAAGGCGATATACAACTGTAAACTTCTTGTTGTTGTTGTGTGCATTTGTGTATGTTCCAGTAAGTGTGTGCGTTTGTTTGTGTGTATGTACCCAACTCTTCCCTTCACAGCTGCAGATCATACAAAACTCTGCAGCTCGTGTAATCATCTACACCAGGCTCCCCGACCCCATTACACCCACCCTCGCCCGACCTCATCACTCCCACATTCGCCCGACCTCATCACTCCAACCCTCGCCCGACCTCATCACTCCCACCCTCGCCCGACCACATCATTCCCATCCTCGCCCGACCCCATCACTCCCACCCTCGCCCGACCCCATCACTCCCACCCTCGCCCGACCACATCAATCCCACACCCTCCCGACCTCACTGACTCCTCATCCCCCAGAGGATCGAGTTCAAGATCGTCGTCCTCACCTTTAAGGCCATCAATGGCCTCGCCCCCTCCTCCCCTCTCTGACCTGCTGACTCCCTACCAACCTGCCCGCTCCCTCCGTCCGGTGGGCTCCGGGCTGCTCCATGTCTCCATCGTTGTCCGGGCTTTCAGCCTCTCTGCCCCACACTCTGGAACTGCATCCCACGGTCCCTTCTCCTCACTTCCTCTCTTGTCTCCTTCAAGGTCGGTCTCAAGACCCTTCTCTTCGATCGAGCCTTTGGTCTCCCTCCCACCTCTCTGCCTTCCCTCACTCCTACCCCAATCCTCCCCCACCCCTCGCCACCCCTCCCCCACCCCTCGCCACCCCTCCCCCACCCCTCGCCACCCCTCCCCCACCACTCGCCACCCCTCCCCACCCCTCCCCCACCCCTGCCCACCCCTCCCCACACCTCCCCACAACCCTCCCCACCCCTCCCCACCCCTCCACCATGCTGTGGCCCCGACACCTGACTATTCAGCGCTTTGGGACGTCCTGCCGACGTGAACGGCTCTCTGGAAATGCAATTTTATTGATGTTATTGTGTGTTTGCGTGTGTGTGTTTGTGTGTGTGTTTGTGTGTGTGCGTGTCTGCGGGTATATGCGTGGTTGTATCTGTGTGCTTGCACGTTTGTGTGTTTGGTTGTGTGTATGTGTATTTATGTTTGTGTGTTTTTCTGTGCGTGTTTGTGTGTGGGTGTTTGTGTGTGATTGTGTGTGTATATTTGCATATGTTTCTTTGTGTGAATCTATGTATGTGTATTTATGTCTGTGCTTGTATTTGGTTTTGTGTTTCTTTGTTTGTGTGTTTTTGAGTGTGTGTCTGTTTGTCTTTACATATGTTTCTGTGTATGTGTGTGATTGTGTGTTGTGTTTTTGTGTGTGCGTATTTGTGAGTTTTTGTTTGTGTGTCTTTGTGTGTTTCTGTGTGTATTTGTGCGTGTGTTTTCGCATATATGGTTATGAATGTTTGTGTATGCCTGTGTATGTGTACGTGTTTGTGTAATTGTGTACTTTTTCTGCGTGTGTGTGTTTACGTGTATGTTTGCGTGTGTTTGTGTGTGTCCGTTTGTTTGTGATCCTGTGAGTGTGTGTGTTTGTTTCTGTGTGTTTCTCTGTGTATGTGTGTCTGTGCGTCTGTATCTGTGTGTGTATTTGACTGTGCGACATGTGTTTGTTTGTGTGTGTATGTGTATGCTTGCATGAGTGTGTTTGCGTGTGTTTCTGTGTGTGTGTGTTTACTTGTTTGTGGTTCATGTGTTTGTGTGTGTGACTGATTGTATTTTTCTGTGGGTCATGTGTTTGTTTATGTGTGTATATGCATGTATGTGTGTGTGTTTTTTGTGCCATTTTGTTTATGTTTGTATGTGTGCTTGTGTGAGTGATTGTGCTTATGTTTGCGTGTGTGTGTGTGTTTGAGTGTGTGTGTTGGCGTGTGTTCGATTTTGTTTGTATGAGTTTGTGAGTGCTTTTGTGTGTGTTTGTGTATTTCTGTGTATGCGTGTGAGTTTGTGTGTGTGTATATTTGTGTGTGTTTGTGTGTATCTATGTATGTCTATTTATACCTGTGTGCTTGTTTGTATGCGCTGTGCTTCTGTTTGTGATTGTGTGTTTTTGAGTGTGTCTTTTTGTGTGCGTTTGTATGTTTGCGGTTGTTTGTGTGTGCGTGTTTGTCAGTCTGTTTTCGTGTACGTTTGTTTGTGTGGTTCTGTGTGTGTATTTGTGAGTGTTTGTGTGAATGTTTATGTATGTTTGTGTGTATGCGTGTTTGTGCGTGCGTGTGTTTTTTTCTCTGTGTGTGTTTGCTTGTGTTTGTGTGCATATGTGTGTGCGTTTGTGTGAATGATTGATTGTTTGTGTGTGTGTTTTTGTTTGCTTGTTTGAGTTTCTGTGTGTGTGTTTGCGTATGTGTTTGCGTGGGTGAGTTTTTGGGTGTGATTGTGTATGTTTCTGTGTGAGCGCGTTTGTGTGAGAGTGTTTGTGTGTTTGTTTGTCTGCGTGAGTGTGTGTATTTATGTGTGTCTGTGTGTGTGTCTGTTTGTGCGTCTCTGTTTATGTGACTCTTTGTGTGTTTGTATGTATTTTTCTGTGGGTGATGTGTTTGTGTGTATTTGTGTGTGTGAGAGTAAGTGTGTATCTGCGGCGATGTTTTTGTCTGTGTTTGCGTGTGTTTGTGTGTATGTGTGTTTGTGTGTATGAACTCCTACAACCTGTCCGGCATCAAACAAACTGTGAGTGACAGTGGGTTATACCCACTGTGTTTACTCTGATCCCTGTCATGTCTCTGTGTCTCTGATCTCCAGGTTGGACAGTAACAGACTGACCGATGGCTGCACTGATGATCTGGTCTCCGCTCTCAGTACAAACCGCTCACTGAGGTTCCTGGACCTGGAGTATAACTCCTTCACAGACGGCTCTGTCTCCGCTCTCCGCCGCCTCATACAGACCTGCACCAGTCTGGAGGGATCGGTGAGTGTTTGTGTCAGTGTTTAATGTGATAAACACACAGAGAAAGGGCTGTGTATCAGAATGGGAACAGTTTGAAGGGATTTATTTATTCATTAAACTGCGACACGAACAGTTTACAGTTTGTACCATTATCCCATGGGTTTTTTCCTGTTTAATGTGTTTCAGGCTGTGGGCGAATAAGTTCAGTTCAGATGGACGGAATCAGCTGAAGTCACTGCAGGTAATCAGAGCTGAGCTGTCAGTGACAGTGTGACACTGACTGAGGCAGTGACTGTCCACACAGTCTGTGTAACAAGGAATATATTCTGGACACTGTAGTGACTGATTATTAAAGATGTAATCCTGATTCCTCTCCCATCTCTGCTCTGGGGACCGTTATTGACACACACCGCCTACGGGCGTGCGGGCGGCTGGAGAGCCCCGACCCTCAGTCACTGCTAAACTGCTGTAAGCGACCACGACTGATGCACTTTCTCTCACAGTCTCTCTCTCTCTCTCTCTCTCTCTGTGTGTGTGTGTCACTCCCTCTCATTTTATATATTTCCGTCTTTCTATTTCAGGCTCTCTCTTTCGTTGTCTCTCTTAGTCTCCGTCTCTCTCTCTGTCTCTCTCTCTGTGCCTCAGCCCTCAGTGTTTGTGTTTGAGATCCTGAGAGAGTGATCAGTCCGAGTGTTCGTGTGTGTGTGAGAGAGAGAGAGTTTGCAGACCGTGTGTGAGAGTGAGAAGGAGAGGGAACAGTCAGTGGGTTTGCGGGAGAGGGAGTGAGCTGTCAAAATGTGTGCGTGTGTCAGAGAGAACAGTTCTTGTGCGTGAGAGAGAATGAGAGCAGTCTGTGTGTGAGTAAGAGAGACCAGTCAGTGACTGTGTGTGTGTGTGTGAGAGCAGTCATTGTGTGTGTGTGTGTATGAGAGAGAGCAGTCAGTGTGTGTGTGTATGTGTGTGGGAGAGCAGTCAGTGTGTGTGTGTGTGTGTGTGTAAGAGAGAGAGCAGTCAGTGTGTGTGTGTGTGGGAGAGCAGTCAGTGTGCGTGTGTGGGGGGGGAGAGCAGTCAGTGTGTGTGTGTGTGAGAGCAGTCAGTGTGTGTGAGAGCAGTCAGTGTGTGTGTGTGTGTGAGCATTCAGTGTGTGTGTGTAGGAGAGCAGTCAGTGTGTGTGAGAGAAGTCAGTGCGTGTGTGTGTGTGAGAGAGCAGTCAGTGTGTGTGTGTGTGCGAGAGCAGTCAGTGTGTGTGTGAGAGAAAGCATTCTGTATGTGAGAGCAGTCAGTACCTGTGTGTGTGAACGTGTGAGTGTGAGCAGTCAGTGTGTGTTTGTGTGTGTGAGAGAGAGAGAGCAGTCAGTGTATGTGTGTGTGAGAGCAACAACAACAACAACAACAATATTCCATTTATAGAGCGCCTTTCACGTCAGGAGGACGTCCCAAGGCGCTGCACAGTTGGGTCATGACCCGAGCAGGGGGGAAATGGTCAGGGTGAGGGGAGGGAAGGGAGGGAGCGAGGAGGAGGAAGAGAGTCGAGAGGGGAGCTGAAGGCACGGTCAAAGAGAAAGGTTTTGAGACCGGCCTTGAAGGAGGAAAGGGAGGAAGCGGCGAAGGCACTGGGGATGGAGTTGCAGAGCCTGGGGGCTGAGAGGCTGAAGGCCACCGATGGTAGCGCGTTTGGGGCGGGTGATGTGGAGCAGACCGGAGCCAGAGGAACGGAGGGTACGGGCTGGTAAGTAGGGGAAGAGTAGGTCGGAGAGTTAGGAGGGAGCGAGGCCATGAATGGCCTTGTAGGTGAGGATGAAGATCTGGATTTCGATCCTCGGGGGAATCAGGAGACGGTGGAGGTGAGCGAGGGTGGGGAGTGATGTGGTCACGAAGCCTAGTGCGGGACAGTACCCAACTCATTCCACATTCCCCTTCTTACCCCAATTAGTCCCCCTGCTGTTACCCCAAATATTTCCACTCCCCTGCTCTCACCCCAACCAGTCCCACTCACACAGCTCTTACCTACCAATGTTTCCCACTCGCGCACACTTACCCCAACTTGCCCCATCACCACCATCCTCGCCCAACTCCACCGGCTTCCCATTATATAGAGGATGCGGTTCAATATCCTGGTCCTCACCTTCAAAGCCCTCCATGGCTTGCTCCCCCACACCACTTCTGTGACCTCCTAACCCCCTACCAACCTGTACGCTCCCTCCGCTCAGCAGGCTCCAGCCTGCTTCACGTGCCCCGCCTCATCAATGGCGGTTGGTCCTGCAGCTTCTCTGCCCCCACCCTCTGGACCTCCATCCTCCGCCACAATCGTCCCCTCCTCACCTCCTTCAAGGTATATCTCAAGACACTCCTCTTCGACCGACGGCGCTTTTGGTCACCCTCCTACCCCCACCTCTCAACCCTCCACTCCTTCGTGATCCCAAAGCCCAGCTCGGGTCCAATTCCCCGACTCTC